CTTGTCTCTGCTTTGGCTTAGATCAGTGTGAGGCAAATAATCACTTGGTGAAATTAATCAAAATAGATTAAAATAATATGATATGATCTTTACAAGATAAACAGAGTCATCTTGAATGCCTGGGGAAATAAGTGGGATGGTTAACAGGGCCATCTACTGGTTGATACGCTGTAATGAAATAACTTAAATTTCCCTGAAAGGGTCTGGATTTAGAAAAGATTGATTTCATTCCAACTTCTAAAAGCTTATTATTTTTTAGATATTTTTTAAGCTGCTTCTTTGCATTTTGTACAAATTCATGGTTTTGTAGCATCATCTCCTATTGTGCAAATGGAGAACAACAACAGCTTGTTAATATGTTTAACATTCATTCAAATTTGAAGAGGAGGAGTTTTGTGTGTGTGTGTGGCTTATTTGGGGAGACTAGTTCCTGGGAATAGTGTTGCCATGGAGCAAACTATAAATAAACAGTTGTTTCCTAAAAATTCCGGTTTCATTTCCATATCTCAAATCTAAAATAACTGTATAATAATAAAAATGTTATAAAATGTTTGTGATACAGTTTGAGGAATGCAAAATGAGGGTTTTATTTTTGGACAGTCTGTTTGCATTAGAGGCATTCTAATGTAAATCACAGAGTAAATACCAGATGAATGTAACAAAGTAGTGCTAGTAAAGTCTCCATCATTCATACTGGTATTTTGTTAAATGCTTTATGCCCTTATTCTCTAAGAATACCTGTGTGTGTGTGTGTGTGTACACCATGCAGCATCTCATAATTAAGAGAAGCAGGTGTGTTTATATATAAAAAAGAATAAAACGTGTTCCCACATATTCCATGTATTGTTCATCATGGAAGCTTACATGGACAGTAAGGCTGTGTGAAGCGTCAGTCGCTGATTTGATTCGGCGAAGATTTGGCCCAATTTGGCGGCTGAATCTCTGAATCCAAATTGAATCAGGAGACCCTTTAATCTCTCTGAATCGAATTGAAACCCTCTGAATCGATTTGGAGAGATTCAGTGATTCAGACATAGACACAGCTGTAAATGTTTTTTCTATATACCTCAAGGTACCAGGCAGCTCATGAATGCTGAGATGGTGGGGCAGTTGGAGTGTCCCACAGGAGCACAGGGGTGTCCCCAGCATGCTGGACACTGGACCCTCCCCCTGCCCCCTAGTTCAGTGACTGGTGCCTCCTGGGTCTGAGGGGGCACCCAGGGTCCCCCTGTGGCTGATCATCAAGCTGGGAGGGTGCGGCGCGGGAGGTACCTGCATGCTCAGCAGTGGACCTGGAAGTGGACCAGAGGTACTTCTGGTCCACTTCCAGGTCTGCTGCTGAGCTTGCGGGGGGCCCTCCCTGCACTCCTGTGGGACTCTCCATCTGCCCCACCATCGCAGCATTCACGAACCACACCTGGTACTTCGATTTATGTAGAAAAAACATTTAAAGCTGTGTCTATGGCTGAATCACTGATTCTCTGAATCAGCATCAAATCTTCAGATTCAGATTCAGCCAAAACAAATCAGGACAGTGATGTGAATCAACAGATCGAATCACTGTCCCTTATTTGGGCTGAATCCAAATTGAATATGGCCCATTCTGCACACCCCTAATGGGCAGAATTTATTTTTTAGTAATAATTGTGAATTTCCAAATCGTCCTTATTGAACCCATTATGTTATTGTTGCTGATGGCTCTTTTCTGGCTTGCAAAACTGTTCCCTGCAGACTATTTCAGTTTTTCCAGCTTGTTGACATATGTGCCTCTCCAAAGTTTTACCCCACTCCTTGCCCTGTGCCTGGATGTGACAGTTGTGTAACTGACTCCTGGCAAAGGTAGGAAAGAGAAAGTAGGATTAGAGTGACTGAGAGTCAGATGCATCCCTCTGTGTAAAATTGTTTTCCTACATGGAGGGTGCATCTACACAAGATGCTTTATTGTGCATTAGACTAGTTCAATGCACATTAAAGTGTCACTGTCTACATGAGTAGCAATTATTGCACATGAAATTAGTTTAATGTGCTTTTTCCTAGTACCAGTACATACAGGCATTAGAAAAACGGTGCATTAAGTAATGTGCCAAAGTACACATGTAGCCTTGACTGGCTCAGGGTAGCCCAGGAAACAGAGGGTCAGAGCCCCGATCTCCGTGGGGCAGGAGAAGCTATCCCACCTCTGGGGGCAGTTGCCTCCCAGCCGTGTGGAGATTGGAACTGGCCCCAGTGTTCGTCAGCCTAGGGCGGGCACCTGTAGCTCCCCTTGTGGCCTCAATTCTTAATGATTTATGTAGCCAGACAGAGCACAAACAGTAGTGGGGCAGAGCAGGGTAGGCACAGCCCCTGACTGAACTGCTCCTGTTGGGAGCAAATTTGTTCCCTACATGGAGACACATTCAGATGCATGCCCAGGCACAATTTAATGCATCTGAATTTTCTGCACAGAAAATTCAGGTGCATTAACTGCATGTGTAGATGTGCCCACAGTTTACTAGGAAGAAAACAAAATGTATGCACTTAAATCCTTAAGTGAATAAAACTTCATGCAATTGGTGGGGGGAGAGTGATGATGTGAGTTCCTTCTCTGTAGTCTCCCTAATATTATCCCATAGGTCTTGGGGCAAGTTAATAAGGCCACCTGCTTGTTACCTGGGTTTAGTTTTACTGAAATCCCATGTTATGGAACATGTGGTTGTGGGGGACAACTCTTCTAAACTTTAGGGTGACACAGGCTACTTAAGGCAAATACTTACAGATTTTTGTAAAATAATGTTTTTAATATCTGTCCAGGCAGCTGAGAATGTATAGGTTTATCATTCCTACCTTTCTGCTATTCTGTTCCACTCTTGGTTTGTTCAGATGCAAAGACACATGATAATTTTCAGTTATAGTCTAGGCTACAGGGAGACAGAAGTGTCAATGCAATCATTACTGTGAGATGGGCAAATGAGCACTGGATTCAAAACCTGAAATTTGTATGTAAATACTATGAGAACAATGTAGAAGGGTGTGTGTGTGTGTGTGTGTGTGTGTGTGTGTGAAACATGACTGTTAGAACTGATTCTTTTGTGCAGTGTTAACTCTTTATAATTTCTTGATCATCCATTTAGGATTTCATAGTAAACGATAAATGACATTTATGCAGAATAAATTGAAAATACATAGTAGAATATACTTTAAAAGGCTGCATGGCATATACTATTCAGTTTTAATAGAGGTATAACTTTTATCATATACATATTATAAGTACAGCTGTCAGTACAGTCTGTTGCAAAGCGGACTTAGCCCTGGCATGAGTAGTGGTTGGAGCAGAATGCTTTGAGGAGCAGCAGTCTTCATTCTAGGGTAATTAGAATAAGCAACAGTAGCTACTCCCAGGCATCATGACAAATAGATTACAGACTAATGTTATCTTCTGAGATCATACTGACCTGACCATATCCAATAACTCTTTCAGCTCTATCACCTTAAACTCTGTATAGCTTTGCTTCCCATGGAAAAAGCCACACATTTCATATCACCCAAGAGCTACCTTGACCGCTCTCACTTTTAAACTATTTCTAACTTTTTTTCCCTTTTGGGAATTCAGAAAATGATGTAACAGAGATGGATTCCTGTTACACTGACATTTACTGCTTAGCTATTAAATGTGTGGCCTCAAGTCTACTGATTTATGTAGCTGGACAGAGCACAAACACTGAATACTGATAATACTACTATAAGGAAATTGTTTTTTGTATGAAGCTTAGTTCACAAGTGGTGTGAATAGACCAGTAGTGTTTAATCTTATGTCACAAAGCAGAAATGTCCTGCCTAATTTCTAATGTTGGTGATTTCGTTCTGTCTCTCTGCATTTCCTTTTGCATTTTCAGCTGAAATGGCATTCCTTATAGCCAGTTTTACAGCAATGCAAAAGATTATGATTTACTGCATACTGCTGAACCCTGGGGATAGATTCTTAAAACTGGCTGCTTCTATATAGAAAGGAGAGAGTCATTCTCCACCTCCACTTCCTTCTTTCTGTCAAAAGTTATCTACAATGGCAGTAGGCTAAAATTTGACAAACTTCTTTGGCCAACAGTCTGGGGAATAGAAATAAAAGATTAATGATGAGTATCTGCTATACATCACTAGGATTAGATGAACGTGCAAATGCCTGAGAGAGTTTTGAAGTAGTTTACAAACTGGAGTAAATCTCAGGCTCTCAGACGTATGTGAGATTTTAGGTGTCATCTAGGTAATAGATGCAACAAAACACCATAGGCTGTTTACACTGGATGTGTATGTATGCTTGTATATACACATACATAAAAGTGTTTTTCATTGAAAGTGGAGTTCTGCTGTCCTGGAAAAATGGTGGCAGAATCTGATCACTGTTCTTTATGCTGAGTAGTAGTAACTTAGAGTTTGTCTACACTAGAGAAGTCTCTGCTACTACAGTCAGGCTGGCAGAGCCCATTTAATGCAGATTCAGCATGTGATGAGAAAAGAGTTTTTTTGCTGGCACAGCAACACCCCTTCACTGAATGATGTAAGCTGAGAAACATGCTGTTTTGTCAGCGTTGGGGCATCCAGACTAAGGGTTTTTCTAGCAAAGGTAAGATCTGGCCTCTAGTGAGGGAGTCTAAATGCACTCTTCTCCATATACTGACTTTCTAATAATGCATTAACCATAAGAAAAAAGTGACCCTGTGACACAAAGTGTTTCTCATGATATCCCATCTGCCTGCTTTCTCACTCAGCATCAAATGGGGCAGTTCTCAGGTTACCAGGAGAGCAGTGTACATTCAGCACCCAGGAAAAAAAAGAGAGTGGCCATAGATAGCTTCCAGTGAGGACCCAGGACTCTGGCTGCTCTTGAGCACAGAGGTCTTAGTAACAACACATCAGTGTCTCCACTGCTCTTGCACTTCTGTGCAACTAACCTTCCTTACAGCTTTGGAAGGTGAAAACAATCTTTCTGTGCCTGTGGATGAGCAGAGTTACTGCATGGTTCAGAAATGAAGACAAACAGATTACCCTTCTGCTGCTGCTATCTTTGGTTGGTTTTCACAGCATTGATCTTCAGAGGTAAGAGCATTTTTCAGAACCAAAGTACCAAACCAAGAATCTGATCCTGCCTCCTTTCATGTATCCACTGCCTTCATGGTTTGGAGCGTACAAAGCTTAAAGTTCAGTATCAGTGGATCCTCTTCTATGTTTTGATTTATATTATCTCATTAATGTATAAATATTACAATAGTTTAACTGCTTTTTGATCATGCATTGTCAAATCTAAATGCCCTTGGGGTTGTTTCAATATAGTAGGAGTTTTTTCTTAATTACACTAATGGAGCTAGTCCAGAAAGTTGCCAGGAAGGTAAAAGTGGAAGTACTCTAAAATACTTTTTGCCTACATTGTGTAGATTGGCATTTGGATAGGCCATACATTTGTTAACATCCTTGTCCCTTGATTTTTTTGAAATCAAAGGATCCATTAAATGATAATGTAGTACAATTGAGAGAAATTGTATTGCACAAATCATTCTGGCACAATGAAGAGATTATTTTAAAGAGTTTGTCAGTGGATTAGCTGATTTAAAAAAAAGCAGGATGGATAATGGAATTTTCTTTTAAATATATTGTTTGAAAAACATTTCTAAAATTCACTTGAAAAGAAATTATTTTTAATGCATTTCATAATTATGTAACCATCTCTACACATCAGTCAAATAACGAACAAAATTCATTTCAAGTTTGTTGAGCAAAAACAGTACAATTATTGTATTGAGTGATTTATGAGTAGTCTTTGACGGTTACTAGAAAGCAGGAGTAGAAGTTAGTCTTTCTGTTTCTAGCTCAGCAAGTATGTCATTTAATCTCTCTGCACTTTATTTTCCCTCATACATAAAATAGGAATAATTATATTTATCTTCATATGTAAAGACTTCACAAGGTATGGATGCTGTAGTAGGGCAAAGTGTAATTCAATGCGAGTGTGAAACACTTATTTTATAATATCTACTTAGTTTCTACAAATTAATGACTTTCTCATTTGCATCATCTCACCAGCTTTCCTACATATAGTTTTTCTAGATTAGATAGTATTATATACACTATATCATATCTGGCTGGCAGCATATAAAAGTATTAGGTAGTGTTTGGAGTTCTGGACACAGTCTGCTTTTTCTGATATTGTGCAGTGCTTATTTGGTATACTGAATAGACTTATTTTATGTAGCTGTAGAATCAGCACATGGAAAATATGCTCAGATGCTGTTTAATGAACTGTTTGAAGACTATTCAAATGCTCTAAGACCAGTGGAAGATACAGATACAGTACTGAATGTTACTCTTCAGATCACGTTGTCCCAAATTAAAGATATGGTGAGTAGCAAGACAGTTCCATATTCTAGACATGCACAAGTCTATTGGTTGTAAGCTGTAGAACTGCATGAGTTTCAGAATTTAAGATTTCACATTTTCCTTTGAAGTGAGAACATTTTACATTTTCCTATAATAACTTTAGCAATGTTTTCTCACAGTTTTTATGTTCTCCTGTTTCTAATATATACTCGTCCATTTACAACACACCCGCAGCTAGTTTATAAATGACTAGCCTTTAGTAAATAATGACTGGATATTGAATATTTCTGCCTCAAAGCATTTCTGATTTTTCCCATTATACTAATCCAAAAAACCCCCTGATTTCTTTTTTTTACCCCTATGGCTTATCAGTTGTTTTCCAGAAGTAATATTAAAGGTGGTAACTAGCTTCTAAAATCACTGTTTCAGCCATCAGATAACTTCGCCAGATTTTACTTTCAAGGCAATGGAGAATATATGTGGATAGGGTGGTGAAAATTACAGGTGATTAAATTCTAAACTAACGTGCACATACCGTACCAGTCTCCCAAAACTTTCAGAGACTTCAGTGTAAGTGATAGGTAATTGGTACCTCTTACATGGTAGCATAGATTTCTTGAACTACAGAAGATATCATCACCTTCTGAATCAAGTGAACTTGACCTGAATCAAAAGTGCATTATTGCTGAGTCACGAATTAGAAATGTTTATAAATATTATCTTTCTTTGTAGGATGAAAGAAACCAAATTTTGATTGCCTACTTATGGATTCGACAAAGCTGGTATGATGCATATCTCAAGTGGGACAAAGACAAATATGATGGGTTAGATTCTATCAGGATTCCTAGCAATCTCGTATGGAGACCAGATATTGTCCTGTATAACAAGTAAGTATAATTGAAAGTTTGTTAACTTAGCTGCAGCAGTAGTTTGAATGGAGTAATTCTAAAGAAGGAATAATTTTAGTTGCCATGAGATGAGGGTCAGCCATAGGTGTGGGCAACTGAATCCTGATCTCCTGGCTGTGCCCAGAACAGTGAGATCATCTTTCTTCACTCAGAGGTTTGTGACTGCTGCTACTTTGAGCTTTTATAGTCAGGTCAGGAATACAGCGCAATTCCCCCCACTTTTCTAAAAGCAGAGCCCTTATTGCTTGAGCTGCAAGAAGATTTCAAGTAGCAACACTAGTCTTTGGCACATTGCTCAGTAATTCTGAATCCACCCAATGATGGAATCTGTATGTAATTGCCAGTTCATTACAACATTAAATATAAGTCAATGAAGTGAAATCAGTATTCTGAATGTGTGGCCTATATGCTATTCTAATTTAGCAGCCTTTACTGTTGTTGTTATATCATCTTTTTAGGGCCGATGACGCCTTTTCAGACCCAGTGAATACAAATGTTGTGTTGAGATATGATGGAAAAATTACTTGGGATGCACCAGCTATAACAAAGAGCTCATGTGTGGTGGATGTGTCTTATTTTCCCTTTGATAGTCAGCAGTGCAACCTTACCTTTGGTTCCTGGACCTACAATGGTAATCAGGTTGACATCATTAATGCACTGGACAGTGGAGACCTATCTGACTTTATAGAAGATGTGGAGTGGGAGATTCATGGCATGCCAGCTATTAAGAATGTAATTATGTATGGCTGTTGCTCTGAGCCTTATCCAGATGTTACATTCACACTCATTTTGAAGAGGAAGTCTTCCTTTTATATATTTAACCTGCTGCTCCCTTGTGTTTTGATATCTTTTTTGGCTCCACTGGGATTCTACCTTCCTGCTGACTCTGGAGAAAAAGTGTCTTTAGGCGTTACAGTTCTCCTAGCGTTGACTGTATTTCAGCTAATGGTTGCAGAAATCATGCCTCCTTCAGAAAATGTACCCTTGATAGGTGAGTATATCATGCTTTTATCAAGGCTTATTAATAGTAGAGGGGTTTTTTTGTGTCAGGAAGACAACATATCTCTAACGGAACCTGGAAAGATAAATGTTGTGATGCAAGTTTCCAAAACCCTGTGTAGTACTTAAAGTGAATTGAATTTGTAAAAGTACATTGAAGTTTTGTGACAAGATTATTTTGCACCGAGTGGTAATACATGATTATGCTAAGAACCAAGCTGTAATGTACATAACGTTAAACACACAATCAGTTGTATTGTTTCAAGGTGTGGTCCCAGCATATATACAAACTATTCCAGGCCAGTTATTGACTGAGAAATGCCATAGTGCACCCAGAACTGGTTTAGTGATTCATTGGATTTAAATGTGATGTCTGGAAAATGAGGAGAAGTATATGGTGAGTTGTAAGTTGGAAGTGAAGGGGGAGTTTATCTGCAGGGGGGAGAGCCCTTTTTATACAATATGGAACTGGTATGCTGCAAAGGACTTCTAGTTATGCTGTAGTTGCACATACCTACTTCCCATAAATTATACAGTCCACTCTCAGGCTATGACTAAGTGGTCAGATTTAAGAAACTGAAGACCCGTTAGGCTCTATAGAAACTGAGGTTGCCTACAGTACAAACAAGTTCCTTGAAGTACCAGGACTCCTTCTCTTGATTCATAGCTGATGGCAGAATAAATACAGGAGCACTAATACGTGCCTTCCCCTCCTGCACAACTGAGCTGCCCCTCAGCTCCCCCTCCTGATACTCTTTGCTTCCTGCACCCTTCCATAGTCCTTCCTGCTTAGTTCCCAACTACAGACATACTCAGGGTCACTTGCACCTGTGGAAATCCTGTTTTCCATTTGCTTGTGTGGGCTCCATTGACAGATAAGTCTTATAACTCATATGAGGTAATGCATTAGGAAGAGGTGTTTCAAATTTGGTGTGTATATGTACTGACATTGTGAATTTGTAGGGACTGAAAGAATCTGGAAATTCAATTTTTTTATTTTAAAGTTTGTAATTTTAAACTTAATTTAATTTTTATTTTAATTATATATAAATTTAAAATTAAATTCTCACACTTTTTCAATCCCTATATATATATCTATATATCTATATATATCTATCCATGAATATATATATATTAATATTCACACTCCCAAACACCTAGTTTAAAAAATGTGTGTGTGTATATATATACATTTTTTAAATGAGAGGTTTCAGAGTAGGTAGGTAGGGTTGGAAGGAGCCTGAGCAGATCATCAAGTCCGAACCCCTGCCATGGGCAGGAAAGAATGCTGGGGTCAAATGACCCCGGCTAGGTGATCATCTAGCCTCCTTTTGAAGACCCCCAGGGTAGGAGCGAGCTCACTTCCCTTGGAAGTTGGTTCCAGATCCTTACCACCCTGACTGTGAAGTAGTGCTTCCCAATGTCTAGCCTGAATCTACTCTCGGTCAACTTATGGCCATTATTCCTCGTTACTCCCGGTAATGCTTGGGGGAACAGGGACTCTCCCATTGCCTGCTGGTCCCCCTTGGCCAGTTTGTAGATGGCCACCAGATCCCCTCAGCCTTTTCTTGTGGAGGCTGAACAGGTTCAGGTCCCGAGACCTCCCCTCGTAGGACCTGCCTTGCTACCCCTTGATCATGTGAGTGGCCCTCCTCTGGACCCTCTCAATGCTGTCCACATGCCTCCTGGAATGCAGCGCCCAGAACTGGATGCAGTACTCCAACTGCGGCCTGACCAGTGTCACATAGAGGGGGAGGATCACCTCCTTGGACCTGCTTCTTGGACAGTGCGGGTCCGAGGACTAAGCCCTGGGGGATCCCACTACCCACATCCCTCCAGGTCAAGAAAGACTCATCCACCACCACTCTCTGGGTGCGGCCCTCCAGCCAATTTGTGACCCATCTGACTGTGTAGGCATTGATGCCATAGTAGCCTAATTTCTTAATGAGAATGGGGTGAGAAGGAGTGTCAAAGGCCTTTCTAAAGTCCAGAAAAACTACATCCACTGTGACACCTGCATCCAAGGATTTTGTGACCTGGTCATAGAAGGCCACAAGGTTGGTCTGACAGGACCTGCCTCTAATGAACCCATGTTGGTTGCCCCTAAGCATAATCTCCCCTGGTGGCCCCTCGTGGACATGTGCCAGGATAATTCTCTCAAAAAGCTTACCCAGGACTGAGGTAAGACTAACAGGCCTATAGTTTCCTGGGTCCTCCTTCCTCCCTTTTTTGAAAATGGGAACCACATTGACCCTTTCCCAGTCCTCTGACACCTCACCAGAACACCATGAGGGCTCATAAAGCCGTGCCAGGGGTCCCGCAATGACCTCTGCTAATTCCCTCAGCACTCTGGGATGGAGATCATCAGGACCTGCTGACTTGAACAGCAGAACCCACCAGAAGTTCCCTGACTAGGTCCTCACTGACCCTGGGCCTGGCCGCGGCTCCCCTGGGTCCATCGGGGATCCCAGTGGGGGGAATGCCCTGGTCCCTGCTCAAAAAGATGGAGGTAAAGAAATGGTCAAAGAGGTTAGCTTTGTCGTCTGGTGTGACCATCAGGTTTCCTAGTGTATCCTGCAGAAGCCCTATGTTACCTAGTACCTTCTTTTTACCCCCTATGTATTTAAAAAAGGACTTCTTGTTATCCTTGATCCGGGTCACTAGTCCTAGTTCCATCTCTGCCTTAGCCTTCCTAACAGCCCCCCTACAATCTCAGGCAATGGAGGTATAATCCTCTTTGGTGATGGCCCCTCCCTTCCATTGCGTGTATGCCTCCTTTTTAGCTTTGAGACATTAGTGAATGCTTTTGGTGAGCCATGGGGGCTTTTGAGTACTCCTGCCCCCTTTGATCCTCATGGGGATTGTCATCCTTAGAGCTTGGAGGATCATCTCCTTAAGGAACAACCATTCTTCCTGGACTCCCAACTCCCCTGCCCTCCAGGACTTCAGTGCCTCCCGAACTAGTCTCCTTACCTCATTGA